AAAGCATTGCTTTTCCCCCTTGCTGCTTGGTTTTACCTAGCAACTTCATTCATATATCTTTGACCTTTCATCTGAGGTCTTGCATTCAGACGAGGGAAGAAGCCAAGGTCTGATGCAGTCACAGGTGGATGTGGGACTTCATGTGAGCTTCCCAGCTGCCTCCAGAGCAATTGTTTAGGTTGTTATTTTCTCCCCATCAAATATGATGTCATAAATGAACCATAAAGTGCATCCTTGAAGCTTTGTCAGACAGATAAAAATACCTTCCTTTCTTGTGTTCTCTGAAATTCAATATCATGTCCCCCAGCTGATATAGTACTCAGAAAGTGTCACTCTCTGCAAAGATGTCATAAATCTTGGCTTTGTCCCCAAGATACCTTTTTGGGTATTGATTACATCTCACAGTCTCTGAGAAATGGTCAAGGAGCTTTTTATTAAAGCCCATGTCCCATATTATTCATCCTACTTTTATGATATATTATGTATGAACTTTTAAAAATTCATGGGCTCTGCATTTTTTTCTTCAGCTGAGGTTAGCTTTGTGCTTATTTGGCAAAACTCTAACCAGCATGGCTTTTACCTCTCATTGATGTAAAAGGAGTAATTAGAAAAAACACAGAGCCATATAAATATGTAAGTAAAATGACAGGAACACTTGTAGATAACTGGATTTTTATTTTGCCGTGTAATTTTGTCAATTTTTGATAGGCCGGCCATTCTATATCAAAGGTAAATATTCTCAAGTTAAATTGGAATTACTGTTCAGTGGACTGCTGTCACTTAAAACATACATATAGACTTAATGACATGTAATCTGTAATATGGCCTTGAGGTCAGAAATAAGTGTGCAATTTTTTATTCAAGAAACTCTTGGCTTCATTCTCTACCTCTTTTTTTTTAACTAAAGTTGTAATTTTCATTTTGTATTTCTCACAGCACAAATGTTAAAGCACCTGATTTATTCAGGGTAGTAATTTAAAATATACATCAAGAAAAAGATGCTTTGTGTAAGACAACAAGGATGGATTTTGCCAGTTAGACCAACATAATTAAGATAATGTTGCAATGAGAGCCAATATGCAGTGTTCATCATAGGAGAATTTTAATAATGATTGTTATCTTTTGCTAATAACAACTGTATTCATTGGGACTTTGATGTTTTGTGTCTTTTGGGAGTTCTGCTGGCTGTCAGGGGCCTTACATGGCATTGTAGTAAAATGACTGGGTCTTTGACCTTGCTTTAGGATGTTACATTGGCTAAGAGACACCAGGAAAGATATCAAATCCTCAATGCCTCCACTTTCCCTTTCAGAAAAGGAGGATAAGGCTGGACATGGTGGGGCACACCTGTAATCTGAGCATTTGGGAGCTGAGGCAGGAGAATCATTGCAAGTTTAAGGCCAGCCTGGGTTACAAAGTGAGCTCAAGGCCAGCCTGAACTGCATAGCAAGACCCTGTCTCAAAAAGACGAAAAAGAAAAAAGAAAAAGAAAGAAAGACAATGAGGAGAAGAGTGTTTCTTTTCTACTCCAGAGTTGTGGTGAGGAGGACATGAGGTGGCAACTGAAATGTGTAGCACAGTGCCTACTGACAACATTGGGAGGATAAGAAGATCTCTGTTGCTTTAGCCCTTCTCCACTCTCTTTTAACGCATGACATCAAGCCACAGCCACAGCCAAACATGGCAAATTTGGAAAAGATAACTGAAAAGGTTGTCTGCGAGTGCATGTCTCTAGAACCTCCCTAAGTGATCACAGGGAACAAAGTGCACCCGTTTCTTGTGATTGCCCAATGCAACCATTTCGCCACTTATGTTCAAGGTTCTAGTAATGGGGCGACATTAAGAAATATAAAATAGGTCCTTTAGAGACACTATGAAGTTATGGTTTCGTCGAAAAGCCAAGATGTATATGTGTGTGTGTGTAAGAGTCCCAATACCTAGGAGCATACGCCAGAGGTGATTCCATCTTCGCAATTATCTTATGTAATAAGTTATTTCTTTATCTTCATTTACAAAGAATTAGACTAAAACACAGAGGCATTGAGTATTTTTTCCTACAAAGATATAACAAGTGGAAGAGGCAGGATTTAAACTTCATGACCTTGGACTTCAAACACTCAGCCACAGGACAGTTTATTCACCAGAGTAAACAGTCCTACATGACAATCGTGCTGATGACAGAAACTTGGAAAAAAGAGCTCACGCATGGCAGTGATATGTCAGAGGTTCTATTCTGGGCCTTTTATCAATTAAATTCAGACCCGTTGTCCACGGTGGGAGAATTTCCCATGGGAAAAAGTAACCTCTTCCTCTTCTTTGAAAGAAATCATTTAGTAACTATGTGCTTCACCTTTTCCTCAACTTACTGGCCCAAGGGTGGGTCAGCTGTCCCCTCCTCTTGACCAGCACTGGTCAGGTCAGACTGTGAGAAGACACAGTATGCTGTCAAGGAATCCACACGAGAGACTGAGCTCTGCCCTAATTTGTCCTAGAAGCTCACTGCTTAGCTATGGACCACAGACTAGCAACACCAAAACCCTTAAGCACTTGTTAAAAATACTACATGTATCTCAGGTCCTTCCTCAGATTTACTGAGAAGTACAGTATCTGAATTTTAAAAAGATCTCTGGGTGATTGTGTACACATTAAAGTGCAAAAAATGTGTCTTAGAGGACATGACTCTGTTCGCTACTCCTCACCTGTCTCACATGCTGTTGACAGGCTTTCCCCACCTCCCGGAAGTATACTCCATCTGCCTCAAGTTCAAGGCTGAGGAAGAGCCAGAAATTCCTTCGTGCTCCTGTCTTCTGAGTCTTAGTTTCCTATCACCTTAATCGACACTTTCGACAGGGGTACACACATAGATGATGACTGGGGAAGGGTGTTTATGCATTAAAAGAGACCTGGGGATTGAGTTTAGTCTTAAAAATAAGTATAATTTGATAGATGTCCTGGGAAAGGGATAGGTGGGAAAGCCAGAGGGGATCATATACAAACTTCAGTTCCATGGGAGAAGGCAGAATGTAAACTGTCACTAGAAGCCAAGCAGAGGATGAAAAATTATCAGAGGTGTTTAGCTCTGCATCAACTGGCGGGACACAGACACACTCTTTGGAGAGTGGACATGTCTAATAGAGCAGATGCAGCCCTAGATAACAACCATGAACCTGATTATTCAAACAAAATATGAAGAAATGGGATGGAGACATTGGAAAGCACACAAGTAGAAGTGAGGCTAAGGTGGTATTTCTTAAAGTTTGTTCAGCGTGCATTCTAGATGTGTGCAATAGCAACACTTAAATGCAAGGCTCCTGCAAGATACAGCCATTGGCTATAGGCATTTATTGAGGTATGAATACGAACTCCCCTTAACTAAGTTATATCCGGCAATAAACAAGGGCATAAATCAATACTTATAGCTGAAATCTGGACTTTAAGACATGTTTCTCTTTTCATTGCTATTTAGAGCCAAATTTTAAGAGGGGAAATAGGATAGTAAAAATTATTGGCATTTTTTAGATCACTTAAAGAAACTGTTATGCAGCAAAAATAAAGTATTGATAGTAAAGCAGATGAAATCCAACATTATTGAGCATTATGGATATTGATTAGAGAGCAAATTAAGCATGCCCTTTGTACTTATATAGGGTTTTAATACTTACCACAAGTACTGGCATATCTTCATTACCATCCTCCCCAAGCCAGTGTTTAGTCACCGTCAGTTGGAATTGCATTTGGAAAACAGTGATAAGTACTCAGGTACTAAAGGCACCCATAAAGAGTCAATAAATTGCATAAGAAAGAGGCTTTGCTCCTCTGCAAGTGACATAAAGACAGATGGCTCCCCATCAAAGAGTTTCTGAGACAAAGCTTTATATAGATAGGAGGCTGGAATTAGACGGTAATAGAGAGATTCTATTCTCAATGGCTGGATGTTAAATTAATTTAGCCTACCCAGTTTGTGGAGCTTCATCTGTTATATGAGGGGCCTATAATGTGGCTGTCAAGATGTGCTTGGATGTTTACAACTTATTTGTCAACCTTGCCTTATGCAGACCCATTAGAATTCTAACAGGCAGGATCTACTGCATGGGATGCAGTTCTGTTAGATGTTGGGGTTTTGCCATTTGGGCAGCCAGCTGGATGGGGAAGTCCACTTATCTTTTACAGCAGAGGCTCATGACTCCTAAGTGTGTTGTCTACTGTGCATGTCGTCTCACAAGGTGGCACAGATAGACAAGGGTGTTTGATGGCTCAGAATGAAATCCTCAGAGCCTGAGGGAACTCGAGGAGTAATCCAGTAGAACTGCCCCGCTCTACAAAAGAACACATTTAGGTCCATGAAAATTATATTTTCTTTGCTCAAGATCACATATTCAGTGGCAGTAGGTAGTCTGATCTTGACTGCTAGAGGAGCAGTCTAGTGCGCATGTTCTAGAGCCTTGTAAATGAGGACGTTGCTTTGTCGTCCATGTGTAGCATTCAAGTCATTTTATGGTGCTTTTGATTTGTTTTTCTCTCCTGGGGATTGAACACAGGGCTTCACACCTCCTAGGCCAATGGCCTACCATTAAGCTGCACCCCCAGACCTCTAGTCATGTTTCTCGCCAGTGTAGCTGAGTAAAACTGAGAAACGACTATAGTGATACTTCTGCCTAATAATGATGGTAGCTGGCAATGATTCAGCATGTGCATTGGCCAGACATACAGCTATGGGCTTGACATATAGAACTTCATTTAACCCTTGTGATCTCCCTAATAAAATATACAGTATTGTCATTATTCTGTTTTAAAATAAAAATGTATCCGTAAAAGTTGAATAATTTCCCTGTGTCCACACAGTAAGATTCAGATTCAAGATTTCAGCCTGTAGTCTGTCTGGCTCCAAATTCTATGCTTCTAACCACTTTCCTGTATCCCCTCCTAACTTCCTGTGAGGTTTACTTGGTATTCCTTTTCACTAAGCCAAGCCCTTGCTCACAGCTGTCTTGCTTTTGCAGGAACCACAACTGAATGCCAAATCAGGAACCCCTGCCTTGAGATGCCCTGGGCTGGGGCTTGTCGTTCCCAGTCATCTCTGTCCTCGAAACAGCTACAGCAGCAGTGAACTGTCTCTTTCTAGCACCTGCAGTGAGTACTCCAGCGGCTCGTCCTACACATGGCATGATGGGAAGAACCTCAGGAAAAGGGTAGGTCACCCCCTTCAAGGTACATGAAGCATAAGGTCAACCAGCAAAGAATCCTCCTCTGGTAGGATCTGGTCATAGAGATGGAGAGTGGGAGGGAAGGGTAAGAAGGAAGTAACCATTTGCTCAGTACCTGCTCAAGGATTATATTGGCCTTCACTAATCAATACTACAGGCTCATAAAACAAAATTTGACTATAAATTGAAAGGTAGAATAGCAAAGAGAGAAAACATCGTATCAAGGGGCTGGGGATTTAGCTCAGCGGCACAGCACCTGCCTGGCAAGCATGAGGTCATGAGTTCAATTCCCAGTACTGCAAAAAAACAAAACAAAAAAAATATCATATCATAGTAGACAGTAGGGGCCAGGGGTTTAGTGAAAGTAGGCCTGTTTCTAACTATACAATAGGAATTCCTTTCCAGGCTGTTAGATAATCACTCCCACTAAAGTGACTCCCATATGCACGGTGGGTTTACACAAGTGAAGATTCCTTCATGTTTTGAACTAACATCTTTGCTCATTGGTACAAGCCAAATATGTTGAAATAGCTACTTTAGCACTTCCCCAAAGTTGAAGAAAACTAGAGTACATGAGAAGGAAACCCTGAATCAGAATATTTGGAAAGTATTTTTCTACCATTTGGATACATCAAGTTTATGAATTTAGTTTATTTTAGAAACCAGGAAAATCCCACACGGTAGTTCCCAAAAATATTGGTGAAGGAGTAATTTTGTCATCCTCTGAACAAGAACTCTGAAAAAGATTTCAAGCCTGCATGTTATACCCTTGCACTCAGATTTCTATTGCAAAGTAGACAGCTTGCTGCATTATCAAAATCAGTTCCTCTAAGGAGGTGTTCAGAGCTTCTGCATAATGACTGCCAGCGGCCTGGCTCCTAACGGAATCGGAAGATGTTCAGGGAGGTTTCCTTGCTTTCTCTGTGAATGTTACTGGCTTCCACAGCCCTGTTCTCTGTTCATTTTATTCTCATAGCTCTTCCTCTTTCCCTCCTTTTTACTTTCTTTCTTTCTTATGTTTCTGGCTGAGATTCTCCCAGTGGGAGCAGTCCTTGATGTTCTAAAGCAGTCTGTGCCCTGACAAAGGAGAAGGAAGATTCTTAAGGCAGCATAGACACTCGGGTCGTCATTGCATTATGGTCATGGGGCCCCATAATGTGACCACCACATCTCAGTGTACAGTCCTGGTTCTCAGGGACCAGTAAGCTAGACATTTATATTTACATTATTTGAGCCGGGGATATAGCTCAGCGGCACACCATCTGCCTGGCAAGCACAAGGTTATGAGTTAGAATCCTGGTACCAAAAAATAATAATCATAAATAAATAAATTTACATTATTTAAGGAACTTCTGTGGTGTCCATTAGTATCAACTCAAATAATGCATTTAAAAAACATGAATTTGAATGGGAATACAATACTACATAGTAATAAGTGATAGCTGATAGCTCTTTCGAGCTCAATGTAGTTCTATTAAGAATATTTTGTGTGGAAACAGAAAGGAATCCTTATGAAATGCACAAGCAAGCCCTAGGCTGGGGAATTTGGCTCTAATTAATGAGTTATTACCATATACAGCCCACTTTTCTAAGGACAGACATTAGGTCAGTATTTAATGCTCACTATAGCCTTTTAAGTAGAGTGTCTTGTTCTCCCCATTTTACAGATGAGAAAACTGAAGTGCTGAGAAGTCAGATAACTGGCCCACGGTCTCATAACCAGTACATGACAGAATCAGACAGCTGATTCTAGGAGCTGTACTTGTAACATTTCTGCTATCCTGGCCTTATTGCATCAGCCTAACAAACCCAGGTGTTATGCTGGTTGATGAGCTGGATTTGTTTCCATTAAGACCAACAAGACCCATAATCCCATCCCTCAGGAAGGCTGCAGCAGGAGGACCACAAGTTCAACCCCTGCCTAGGCAACTTAACAGCTTAGTAAAAGCTCTGTCTAAAACTTTTAAAAAATAAAATAATAAAAGGGCTGGGGATGTAGCCCTGAATTCAATCCCTAGTACTGGAAAAGAAAATAAAAAGATCCACACCCTTCATAAAAGAAATACATAAAGTTGTAAAACTGTTGTGCACTCAAGAAATGAAAATGGAGCGTGGACATTAAGCACCAGCCCTACCTAATCAGCTATCCATTCTGTTCCCTAAAAGCGACTCTTGCAGGTCTGCTCAGCCCAGGACGCAGCTGCCTGTGGGAAATGCCAGCTCCTCCCCACGCTCCCTCCCACAGGGCACTTGTACATTTATTTCACCAGCAGGTTTCAAGGGTGGTCAAAACTTTTCTCAGGTTATTAAATACCATAACCTCCTGTAGGAAATTGATGGAGGAACATGGTTGATCACAGTGGGAAGTTCGCACTGCTGATCCTGGGGCAAGCCAGAGCACAGCATGGGTGAGCTCTGAAGAGGCAGAAAGGAGGTGGGTAGGTAGGGGCTGAGCATTTCTTCAGTGGGTTGAACAAATGTGCTTCTTTCAAGCTCTTTTCAGGCCTTTTCCCTGCCTTCTCTGTGACTATCAAGATCACGGAAACTCTCAGAAACCTGAGCTATAGCAGCCTCCTCTCTGGACGGTCTATAATACCCAGGCTCACTAATGGGATTTCTTCTGATTTTCAAAAGAGCTTTGAATAGTGCAAAAGAAGAGGAGGAAGAAGGGTGGTATCACCAAACAGCGTCTGTTCCCAGTAACTTCTGACACTGGAGGGTTTTCCAAAGAAAATCTATTATTTAATTTAGAAACAAACGTGTGTGTGTTGTTGATAGCAAGAGTAACTTTCATGGAAAGGCCTTAGATAAAAGCAAATGTTCACAGCTTAGAAAAACCTCAGGTTCCAAGAGAAGTTGCTGCCACTTTTTAAAAAATCTCTGCATGTGAGCCTGTATTTAATATTCAGAAATATGTGCAGAGAATGGCTGGTGTAACCCCTATCGGTGTAGAGTACTCCTCTAAAATTACCACATTTGTTCCTGGAAGTTATTCATCGTTAATTATATGGCCTTTTAAAAAAAACATATAGCAGGTCACCCCTCACACCCTAACAAATTCCCCAGGTGCTGGTTTGTTATAGACTCTGTGAGTTCCATTCAACAAATGGTGCAGGGGTAACCTAGGATCTCTGCTACACGACCACCGCCTAATGCTGAAGATTAGAGGTGACGCTTGACTTTGGAATAGATACCAAGATTCAGAAGAGTGTAGGCTCCAGATTGGACTGCCAAAGTTCACATCTCCTCCCACTGCTTTTGAACTGAGGCAAAATTCACAGTGTTGTAGAAAGTGCCAGAGAAACCAAAGTTCAAACCTTTGCTCCAGCTCATTTTGTCTCTGATTCACAGTAGGACAGTCCCCCTGAACCTCACTTTTCAGCTTAGTGAAATGGGAAGGATAATGTCTTCCTCATGGGAGTGTCCTGAAGATGCAGTTAGAGCACTGGGAAAGTGGTTCTAGGCAGCAGACACTCTGTAAATGTTAGTTCCCTCCTTTCACCTTTCCATTTTTTGCTGTCAATAATGTGAAAAATATGAATGTGTAAAAGGCAGTCTTTTTCCCATCTCATATCCCATACACTTTTCCAAAGCTAAAATTGGTATTTAGGAAGATACAAAGATCAGGAAGGTGACATTTCTAAGTTTGGTGGGGAATAATTACTAGAGGGTTCTAACTGCAAATGCCCAGCTGTTACATGTAAGTATACAGGTATGTATATAATAACTTCAGAAATTTTTTCATAGATATTTGTAAAGTCACAAAATTTAGATTGACAAGGACATGATGATATGGGCCAGCTTACCTTTCTGGCTTTATCCCCTCCACCTCTCCTTTACCTTCTGCATCAACATCTGCTGTCTTTGCTTCTTTCCCTGAGTGTCCCTTGAATGCACTTTCCTGACTTAGATCTTTGCCTGTTGTATTTCTTCAACCTGAAAAACTTTTAGCCTGAGGGTAACTTACCTGTCTTTCGAGAGTTAGGTAAGTTTTTTTTAAATGTCTTTGCTATATAAGTTTCATGACTTTTCCTCTGAATCTGAGACATCCACCATTCTTGCACTTGTCCTTTAGGTGAGATACATTTAACTGTGGCCAAACCCCTGTGCCATGCTGGGCTTTCTGCTCTTTGAAGACAGGGTCTTCACCTTCTCCTTCTTTGTTTTGCTGTACTATTTAGCACTGAACCTGGCAGAGTCAATATTCACTATACAGCTAACTTTGCGTAAGCTGCATTTTTATATAAATGCTTATCAACCAGTAGCACAAACTAAGTTTAATGATGGGCTTTTCCTTTTATACATTTGTCATCTGCATGGCTCAATCACTTCTGATTCCTGCCTTTCTTTCCCTAGCAACCATCACAAAACTGGGATAAAAGACTAAGTATTGATTCTTCACTCCCAAGTGGCTTTGCTAGTCCTGCAGATGAACTACCTCCAACTCGGATCAAGGAAAGCCACATTTTGGAAGGGCTGAGAAAGCTCCAGAAGCGAAAAGTGTTACTGGAACCCTCATCAGTGATAACCAAGTGGGGTTATAAAGATTGTATGAACTCGAATGAAGGAATATATTCTCCAGGAATTAAGAGTAGCAGTCTCAAGGAATATCCATCCTGCAAACCACCAGGTGTGGGGAGCCCCTGCCAGGAGTCCCACAAGACATTTGTTTATGATGCAGCTTCCCACGAGGGTGCTAATGATGACCCCTCTTCCCTAGCATTGCTACAAGCAGTTCCAAACCTGGGCTGCAGGCTACACGGCAGCAAATTAACCCACAGTGTTTCTGACAGTCTCTTTTTCTGGGAGCTGAATGGAAAACACTTTTCAGGAGGCACGTCCTCAGTTTATCCCAGAGAAAGGCCTGAGAAGTTGACTCATGCCAGCAACTGTCCCTTGGAGAGGAAGCTGTGCCCGTGGGTGCGGGTGCCTCTGGTACAGCAGGACAGGGATCCACATAGCCAAGGCCATGATCACACAGCTCTCACTCTCCAGCTTTCAGACATGGATGACAATGAGACCCTGGATGAATTGCACATAGAGAGCAGTGACGACAAAAGCACTTCAGAGTTGTCATTGACTGCTGACACCGACAAATCCACCGAGAACCTGGATGTCCTCATGGGATTTGAGAAATCTGAGCACGGGTCTCCTGATGAGGAAAAACAAGTACCCACCCAGTCAGAAACTAGGCCAAAGACATTTAGTTTCATGAAACAGCAAAGGGTTGTGAAAAGGACTTCTTCAGAAGAATGTATCACTGTAATATTTGATGCAGAAGACAGTGAACCTTTAGAATTCAGCTCACATCAGACTGGAGTTGCTGCTGTTACCAGAAATGAAATTTCCATTCACACAGCCCCTGCTGGGCCCACAGCAGAACACACTGAACTTTTACCTCAGGGAATCACTCATTTACATCCAGGGGCTGCTCCAAGAGACTGTCCCTTCTTAAAGAGATCTGAAGAAGAAACCGAGAAAAACATTCCAACAGGTGGTGTAGACTGTGTTTCTTCAGCTCCCACTGACCCATTCAGCTCCAGAACAGTAACACAAAATGCCCCACAACAAAAGCTGACTAAACCAATACCCAGTATGTCATGTCACAGAAACTCAAGCTCTGTGGCACCTATGGGTGTCTATCAAAAGCAAAACCTGACAAAAATACCAGCCAGGGGCAAGTCTTCACCTCAGAAGTCAAAAGTAACAGAGTCTGAAGGCTCCACACTAATCCCTTCATGTGGCCCAGTGACTCTTAAAAAATCACCCGCCTTACCTCCTGGGAAACTTGCACGGCTCATGAAGACTGAGAGCACGGGGCCCCTCGGTGATGTGCGACCAGATTCACACATTCCAACGCTCCCCACGCAACCTTCTCGTGGCCCTAGAATGTCCAGCAGGAGGGACTGGGCTCAGTGCCCCAAGAGTCAGACGCCAGGGTCAAGATCAAGGCTGCTCATTGAGGCTTGTGACAGTGGAGAGCCTCCCACAAGGGACAAATACTGTGCTTCTGGGCCAGAGGTTACTCCGGCAGGGGTGACATCTCCTTCCCCACCACCCCCTCCAGGCAGGTCGGTGTCCCTGCTCAGGTCCCACTATGACTCTGCATTACCACCTGCATCTGCCACTCCTGAAAGCAGGCTCCCCAGTGACACAGGGAGAGCAGTATGCAAATCGCCCCTGCTGAAAGGAGCCTCTGCTCCAGTCACTTCTCATCAGGCCACAACAGAAGTGCAGAAGAAGAAACCTTCCATAGCCTTCAAAAAGCCCATTTTCCCTCATGTCCTGCCTTCCGCAGAGGCAGTGATTCACCCTGGATGCCCTGCTCATGCCCCCTCCAGCTCATTTGCTGTGATGACTCCCAGGGCTCCAAAGGTCTCGCCAAAGAGAGGTGTTCCTAAAACCTCTCCTCACCAAACACTTGGGACCACACACATGGACACAGGGTTACGGGTGCCTAAGACTTGTCCTTCAACCCATGAGTCACTGGAGATACCACCCTCCAAGAGTGTATCTCCAGGAAAAAGACAAGTGAACGACAGTGTCCATGCATCCCCCAAGCCTTTCTTCTTGGGAGCAAATGAGTCACCATCCTCTCAGGTGAGCAGTTCCACATCCTCCGCTTCTTCCTCTAAAAGCCATAGCACCCCGAATGGTTGTCAAAATGCTCGTGAGAAAGGACTGAAAACTCGCCTCCCAGTGGGGCTCAAAGTTCTCATGAAGTCTCCCCAGTTGCTCAGGAAAAGTTCCACAGTGCCAGGGAAACATGAAAAGGATAGTTTAAATGAGGCTTCTAAAAGCTCTGTAGCTGCAAGCAGGCCTAAGCTTGAGGACTCCAGGAATCCAGCAAACCTGGAGGCTGCAGGATGTAAAGGAAACTCCCCTACACTGGGTTTACACACAGCAGACAGGTTAGCTGAAGGACTTCCCCTGGAAACAGTGCTGCCAGAGGCCCTGGGAAATGGCACCCCTGCAGCTGATGGTAGAGACAGAATAGAAAACAGATCAGTGAAAAGATCCCTTTCCTCTAGCAAGCCACATCTAAAGCCAGCCCTAGGCATGAATGGTGCCAAAGCCCGAAGCCAGAGCTTCAGCGCTCACTCAGGAGACAAGCCCTCTCCACCCACTGTGGAAGGGCCAGGCAAAATCCGAACTCAGATTATTACCAACACAGCAGAGAGAGGCAACTCTCTTACCCGGCAGAACACCTCCATGGAGGGCTCCCCCAGCCACACCGGTTCTACTCCCACATCTGAGAGTCTTCTCTGTGCTGGGCACCCGTTTTCCAGGCAAGGCTCCCTGGGGAGCACAGGCAGCACCAACAGCCAGCATGGGAGCCCAAGCAAGCTACCTTTGAGGGTCTCCCCAAAGTCTGAAGGACTTCACACCCAGCCTGGAACAGAAGACCCCCAGGTTTACATAGGAGGAGAATGTGTTAGCGTGGCTCTACCTGAGGAATCAGGCAGTGACCACTGCAGGTGCCCACCCACTCCAACAGACTGCCCTCTCGTGCCTCAGGCCCCAGGAAGGTCACTGCGTCCAAACAGTTTAGAAACAAGCAGGACTTCCAAGCTAGAAATTTCTGGAAGACATCCAGATGTCTCTACAACCAGGACTGGTGCTATAAGCCCAGAAGCCCCCCTCTCACCCACAATCGAAGAAAAGGTCATGTTGTGCATTCAGGAAAATGTGGAAAAGGGCCAAGTGCAAACAAAGTCCACCTCTGTGGAAGCAAAGCCTAAGCCTGGGCCTTCTTTTGCCAGCTGGTTTGGTTTTCGAAAAAGCAGACTTCCAGCTCTCAGTAGCAGGAAAATGGACTTCTCCAAAGCCAAGGTGGAAAGGAAAGATGTGAAAGTCTTGGGGTTTGGAAACAAACAGCTGAAATCAGAAAGAAAGAAAGAGAAAAAGAAGTCTGAGCTGCAGTGTGTGACAGAAAATGAGCTTAACAGGAGCACCAGGTTGGCAGATACTCCTGACAGTGGATTACAAAGCAAAAGTAATCTAAAACCATCACAAGATATGTGCAACCACATGAACTTTGAACCAAGAAACAGACCCAACCCTGTTACATGTTCAACAAAAGACACCTTTATGGTGGAACTTCTGAACAGGTACGTCACTGGCAAAAGACATGGCAGTGTATAGAAGGGTTGGGGGCTTTCTCCTTATCCCCCCTAAGGAGAGCTGTTTGCTTCCTGCACATTAAATACCAGCCAAGCATGGTTTTAATACAAGTAGAAATGTAGAGTAGCAGTCTTTTATACATTAGCCAGAATTTAAACAGTGAAATAAAAGTTAGCAATAAAATGATAATTTAGTCCATGTTACTTTGTTAACCAAACCAATGGTCTTTGAAATTAAAGAATGGTAAGTTTTATCAAGGTTGATAGAAATTCAACCTACACTAGGAATCATCAATGTACCCACATGGCATGAAATGGAAGAAAATTACACATACCTTTTAAAGCATGCGATTTCATTGATTATACTGAGCAAATGTATACTTAGAAACTTTCCAGAAATAATAACTTTTCATGCCTATCTTAAGCCAGAAATGTATTTAGTAATCACTCTTCAGTAGGTTTTATTTTACCCCTTTCCATAAGCAATCATAAAAATAAAAAATAAATTATGATGGCATCAAATTTAAATTGGCATTCTACTGGAATATTTGAACATTTGATCAGGGCTAGTGAGTCCCACTTACCATTCAAAGGTTTGAAGACAAAGAGCTACATGCAGGTTACTTTAAACATTAAAGGATGGGGGAAAGGAATGCGCTGGAAGAAGAGCAATGTAATTTATCAGAGGAATCACTTTCTATCTGCAGAGTTGACAAGAAAGGAACTCAACAGATGGAAGGTGGATCAAATAATGTTTCCTGCAGGAACGTGTTAAAGGGCAGTTCCCAGGGCTCCTGTCTCACTGGCAGCTCTATCAGCACTCAAGGAAGCCACAAGAAAAACATCAAAACCAAAGTGGATATGGAAATATCCAGAGACTCCCTGGTAAGTGCTCTACCATCCTGGTTAAAAGTGCGTCACTCTGAATATTCTGGCCGAGTTCTTTCTACCATTTGCAAATACAATATGGCTAAGAGATTACAGCGGAGAAAAAGTTAAAGAAAAAGATTTTTTAAGAGAGAAATCTTGATGACAACTGCCAGGGAGAGACAGCAGCTAGACCCTGAGTGGCCTTGGCCACCTCCAGACTTGCTGCTCTTTCCAGGCTATTTCCAGAACAATGATAAAATCACAGTGCAGTGCAGTTAACTAATGCTACCAGTGTCATCTTCAAGTTATACCTTGTACTGGAAATTTATTCTTACGATTTCCACCATCACCAGCAACAAAAAGGAATGAACGTAGCTTTAGAAACAACAGTGCTAAATGATTGAGGAAAACGCCATTTATTTTTATCAGCTATTCTGATGATTTGATTTAAACATTGTTTATTTTTTATCAAAGTTATGTGTACCAGTTCACTTTACCTGGACAGTGTGAAGCCCATGAATTACTTTTGGAACTTGGTTTCCTGTCCTGTAGACTTTCAATTATGAAACCCAAGACTCAGGGAGTAGACTTCTTTTAAAAATATAAATAAATAGTAGGTTGGGGGTATAGCTCAATGTTAGAGCACAACTGTGGGTTCCATCACCTGCACTGAACAAAAAAGTGTAACAAAATAATAAATAAGTACTTTTATATTTCTCTAGGGTATGCTTGCCTCAGGTTATTATTTTTAAATTGTACTTACTCCCTTTAAAATTCATCATATGCTTATATAATGATGATACTCATTGTTCCCTTTAGTAAGTTCTAAACCACATAAACCAAAAGAATTTTCTTTACAGAATTTACCATACCCATGTCTTTTCATACACTAATCAAAGGAAATTGTGAAATGTAGTAAATATATACTACCAGTTTCAGAAGGGGAATTTGAAATATGAAGTAGTTTAGGATTTTTTTGGATATAGTTCAAAGAGATGCTAAGGAATCATGGTTGGCATTAGTTATTAACTATTATAATTATTTATTGATACTCATCGTTCCTTGGATAAGAGTTTCACAGACACAGTTTCATTTGAGAAAATTTCAGACTTAAATGTTTTTACTCAGATAAATTTTGAATCCAAACAGCTATCAGCTCTTTCTTTCAAACTCTTTGAAATCATAAGTAGACTATGTTCATTGCAAGAGCCTTTACTCTTCCATCCCCTTTTGTGCTCTTGGCTTCCATGTTATCATTACTTCTTTGAAAGCATAGCTATTCCCTGCATTATGAAACCACAAATTATAAGCATATCTGAGATTGCCCTTGTAGTGTCACTGAAAGGGAAGGGAGAAAACGAATGTGGGGAAATGTGCAATATACCAGAAATTCAATCCAGCTGATGGAAGACTTTGATAGCCTGGTAGAGTCCTTATCAGAGGCACTCCTTTTAACTATGCCCCACTTAGTCTGGTTCTGACGGCTGAAGGTATATTGTCACTGTACAGAAGTACAAAAAAAAAAAAAACCAAAAAGACCCCATGTTGCCTTTTACAACTTAAGATTTACTTAGTTATTACTTTCTAATGCTAAAGTAATTTACCATGCATTTCCACTCTAGTCTCCACTCCTTCACAGAGTAATAATAAAGGTCCTTTGGTTCTAGAATATCTGCAAGAAACACTCTTATTATTTTATGTGAAGTACAGAGACTCCCTAGCCACCCTAAAAATACATAATCAATAGTGATATGCTAATTGTTCTAGTTAGCTATAAGAAGAAATTAGTCATGTAAAGAGACTTTCCCATAAACAGAATGTTACCAACTTGGATAGATGACCAGTCATTTTTTTAAACATATAAAATGCAATGTTTTTTATTTCATGTCCATAATCATCAGTGTGGATTGGGCTAAAATTACTAATGTCGGGGCTGGGGATTTAGCTTAGTAGCATGGTGCCTGCCTGGCAAGCACAAGGTCGTGAGTTCGATTCCTGGTACCGGAAAAAAAAAATTACTAATGTCAAAAAGGACATTGCTATAGTTTCCTTTGGGACTAGTGAAAGAAAAAGCAGTGAAAACCCATTTATTATGTGTTATCAATCTATATAGGAAGGAGATTAGATGCAAAATAAGATCTATTCTGATACCATAGCATATTGGTGTGAATACCTGTGAGCCTTTTAACGTTCAGAGTTTAAGGGAATTCTCCCCGTTAGGGTTCAACATAAATTTGTTCTCTGCTTATTTTAAAGTGTGTTGCAAAGAATTTCTCTCATACTGCAATGGTTATTTTGGATGGAAACAATAGCTATATATAATGCATTATATATTATACATTTTTTCCCGAATAAAACTATGATTCCCAATCCTTATGACATAATATACCAGAATTCCTTGTCCTTTATAGGCTAAGGTTTTAGTTAGTCATGAGAGTTCTGCACATTTTTAATTATTTTGATGTACAGTGATAATAGAAACATTATTTCCATATATAGCAAATTCCTTTATGTAGCAAACCATTTTGTTCACTGGTAACTGCATAGCCCTTTTTAGTATTATTAAGATACATTCTAAAAAACTATATAAAAGCCCCAGCAATACTTCCCAGAATTAAATCCTTCTCTTTTCAGAACCTTAATTAAAGGCTTATATACCCATTTCTGCCACCATTTATGGATCGCTTAACCCTAATTTTTGTGTAATTTAGACCAAGCGCCATGTTATATTGTTCTTACGATGATTTTATACAATTTGATTAAAAGAGGGTGGAAGACATCCCCTAGAAAGATTGTCTCGCATTAAGTCAGAGAGAGGTGCATTTTGCTTTCTGCATGTTGTAAATTCCTCTTTCCCTGTGGATTGAGATGATTTTCTGGTATGGAAAGTGTCAAAAGAAGACAGCTCCAATGTCCTATTTAATACCACTAAACAAAAATAAAAAATGTTCACAAGATTAAAGAAATCATATACTTTCATCATGCATGGGAGAGAGATGGTCATTTTAATATGGGTATTTTAATTTAAATTATGGATATTCTCTTCATCCAAGTGTCACATAGTCTGAAAAAAATCACATCTGCTAATAAAAAATCATCAAATGCTATCCCATTAAAATGGTACTCTGGTGATGAAATAGCAGAAAATAGTACAATAATTACACAAATTGTTATCATCTTATTAGGTTGTAGAGAATGTTATAATTCCAGCATCCCTAATTGAACGAGTCTGTTCTAAATGCTATTCTGATGCTCACAAGAAGCGTGCATATTTAGCCATCCTTTTGCAAAGTTTCCTACATGACTAACTTTTCCAGAGACTAGGCCTTCTAGTTTTCCCTCAGAGAATCATTCCCTATCTCATGTAGATGGTTGTGCTCTTTTCCTTTTAGGTGAAATTGGGCATCAAAAATGTTGTTGTAGGGGGAAGCCATTACTGTCAAGGTGGTTGAGAGAATAAATGTGTGCAAAATTCAAATGAAAGTTGTCGCTAAATGTGGGGTTTAATTATGAAATCCTATATAGATCTCGGTGGTCTACTATTTTCTCCCCTTTCCCTCATGTGTCTTTTGTAAGTTCATTTCTTCCCACCCTGGCTAATGTAAGATTTAACAAGATATGATGGATGCAGTGATATTTAGTGGTTACTTGTTATAGATTTGTACTTGGAGCAGTTCTTGGCCATAACTGCAGAGACACAAAAACAACACTAGAAGACAAAGTACTGACAACAGACCTAAACAGAAAATAACAACTAGTTGTTGGCTATGAGTCACCTGTTATTTCTCATCAAGTGAGATGTTGCTGACATAGATTCAGAACTATTTCTGGGATGGCAGTGACCAAAAAAGTCCTACATTTCTACCCACCCAGGCTTTTCTAAGCCAAACCCTTGCCATCTGTCTTGGTGTAATAGCCACCTTCTCATTCTTCATAGTTCTTTATGAGGAGGAGGTTGTCCCACTTCTGCTTGTCTTTGGAAAATTTTACTCTTTGACCTGGAAGCCCTTACCCCACAGGAAGATTCTCACATCCCAGCTGCTGCATGGTCAGGAATGAAAATTAACTTAAGTTTAATCCTATGAAAAATATAATCAGCAAGGGGGATCTGTAGCCAAAATAAATTATGCCCCTCATTTCCATAGGGAAATCGATTTTTAAAAAAGTATTCACCACTTTGCTTTGAAATCTACATGTGTGGATAATTAGCACTTAAGAATATAGCATTCTAGGCCCATCCCCTATCTATATTCCCTTACGGCTGTTGCATGGTAGGTTGTCAAATTCAGAGTTTTTTCCTACTAGTCATTTGCCTCTGTGTCAGCCAGCCCAGGAGAGCTGAGTCCTTGGATGAATCCCCAAAACCGCATTTACAATTTACTCTTAGGCAGGTAGAGAGGTTCTGAAAGGAGCTGACAGTAGGACTCACAATAGCTTATGTTTTCTTTTTTAAATGTGATAGCTGGAGAAACATGTGGTAAAGTTCCACAGAAGGGTTAGAGAACAGTAGAGAAGTGAAACAGAGCAGTTATACACACACGCATGCAGGCATGCGTGCACACACACACATACACACATACACACACACAGAGAGACACACATGTGCCTGCCTCCATGCATGGAAAATGTTCCTTCTTAAATACAGTACTGTAGTTGATTACCACTTTTTAAGTGAGGTGCCATATTTAATTGTCAGGCAGATTTCCATGTCAGTGTTGCCACTTACCGTATGTGTGCCCACTTTAAGGGAACTTCCTGGACCTCAGAATTCTGATCTGTGAAACCCTGTGGCTTCATGAGACTTTCTCTACAGTTCCATTTGAATCTAAGTGATACAGTCCCTGGGGAATTCCAACTGAGATTTAAGTAGATTGTCTGGGGAAGCATAGGAGTTGTTAAGAACATCTGGAAAGGGCCGCTGTAGCAGTAGGGGGTCATCTAAAGCAATTGAACATGACAACGAACATGGGTCGAGAATGTTCATTCTAAAACTAGAATTCCGTGCAACTCTGTCCTCATCTCTGATTCTCCTTCTCTGAGTCTCTTTTCTTTTAGGGAACCATTTCTTGAGATTCTGATTCTTTACATTGAAATTTCACAAGCGTACAGAAGTAATGATTCCTGTAATTCTGACAGTTTATCAGAACATCCTGGCAAGTTTAAAATGGACAAATTGGGGCTGGGGATTTAGCTCAGTGGCAGAGCACCTGCCTGACAAGCGTGAGGTTGTGAGTTTGATTCCTGGTGCCGGAAAAAATAAATAAATAAATAAAATGGACAAATTGAGCACAAACAAAAGGAAATATTGTTTTACATTATCAGGTGGGGGAAAATGTGGAGCAGCTTGCCATCAGACCTGAGATGAACTAAAGATAAAGATTCCTTGATGTTCCCATAAATGGAGGCAGAGGGCTCCTAGGGTCTTGTAAATGGAAATGAAAGTGTTTGGAAGAACCCTTCCTCAGAAGGTTTTGTGTGGGCTTGTCACAAGCTGATCTCTGAACTTAGTGAAGCTTGGAAGGCAAATGAACAGCTTTGCTCATGTTCGCAAGGCTTTTCTTCTCTGCTGTCCATGACTGTACACTGAGAGGATTAGTTAGAATGGATGAAGCTTTTTTTTTCTCCTAGCTTTCATTCTCTCTCTTCCTGGGGAGGTGCTAACCAACAGGGAAATGCCCACAGAACAGACAGCTAATGGACATGAAAGTGATGAGGCATGGCCTCGGGATCCTAGAGCCTTTAACAGTCATTTTTAAAAAGGGCTCAGGTAGCCATCCATATCCCCTCTCGTGTCTGTCATCTTCTAGCTATCAGAACAGTACAGATTAAGCACCACTTGCTTTCTACAATTGGAACCTTAGCCATAAAATGTAAATAATTGGTCTTATCCCATTAAGTGTGAAAAATACGAGGTAAAAAGTAGAAAGCTAAATTTAGCTCAAGGTCAGTATGCAACTGTGTGACTTTCTACATTACAAGTCTAAAATAATAGTTTCTTCATATTCAACTCTAGCCTCTAAGCAAAGCCACTGACAGCCTTTGACAGATGTGCCTGAGCAAGACTCATTGCACTGCACAGCTCACAGCACTATTACTGGCTGCCCAGCTGACCAGCCAGAAGGTATTTTAAAAGAGCTATGTAGGGTCATTCCTCAAAGGACCGCCCCTGTTTTAATAGTGAGCCTGAGTCCATACAAGCTTCGTTAATTGGAAACTGGAAAACTACCAAATCCCTCCCCAGTGAACACAGATCTGAATGCTTACTGTGTTTGAATCTCAGCTCTGCCACTTGGACGGTTACTTATCTTCTCTGCTCCTTTGGATGTATCCCCATGTCTAGAATGGAGGAGACAATAGCACCTTCCCCACAGCATTGCTGGGAGGATTGTAAGATCCTACATGTGAAGAGTTTATATAAGCATGTAGGTATTCGCTGTTTTGATCTCGGTTAATATTTTTGATATTGACATTACCCCTGCTCCTCGATTGGAAACTGGGGGATAGGTTTTTGTGTCAGTCTTGCCACTTACTATGGGTGTGCCCACTTTAAGGGAACTTCTTGACCTCAGAATTCTGATGTGTGAAATACTGTGACTTCATAAAATTTTCTTTAGAATTACATTTGAGGCTAAGTGACCCAGTGCCTGTGGATTTTAGCTGAGATTTAAGTAGAATGTTTTTAATGTAAAATGTCCAGAAAAAATGTCTGCCTCCTCTAGTTCAATGAGTGCACATCATAGTTACCTTATCTCAGGGTAGAAGGAATGAAAAGAAATCATTTTCTTAGAGAGTTACATCCCAGGAAAGTGTAAAGAGATCGAAGTACATTTCTTTATTCTTATTAAAATAACTTATGGTGGAAGTCTTAGAGTCTGGAAGAATTATACCTTCTCAGATTTTAATTTTTTCTAATAGTCCTGTGTTACTGACTCCATTAAGTTTTTAAAACTCAGAGTTGTTGCCCCTAAAATCTTGTGTAGAATCACATACCTTGTAAATCCTCTCTTCTCTTTCCAAACTGGGATTATATTTCTGAAAATATGGTCCTGTGATTAAACTTTGTAATAAATCTAAATGGTAAAATAAGGAAAAGTAGAATGATATACACACAAAAATAAATACATTCCTATACCCACACGTGTATATGCATGAACACATTTACACCTTATGCATTTATTGTACAATGTCCCATTATTCTTAGGATTGCAAAAGGTCTTTTTAATAAAATGAATAAGAACTTCCAGTGTTTTCTTATTGGTACAGGTAAAAGAGGCAAATGAAAATCTACAAGAGGATGGAGAAGACACAATTGCAGATTCTGCATTTCAGAGCCATGTCGTAGGTAAAAATTCATTTCTCAAGATATCTTTAAGGTATTCATTCTCAAGATATCTTCCACTGTGTGGAACTTTCTGTCAGATAGGTATGTTCCTGGAGACCATGTCTTATGCCTTCATCGACCAGGACTGAGCTTGTTTAGCTTTATTCCTTAAACACTGGACACTACCATTTAAAAAGTGGGTCAAAGTGACATGAAGAAAACAGGTATTTGTCAAGGAATGCAGAGAGAACTGACAAGAGTACTTGTCAATGTGAAGTAAAAATGACACTGATTATAAATAATTTGATTCTGAGGAGAAAATCAACTCTGAATGGATCCAGTTTCTATAGTTGTTTTAAGAGGCAGCAAATGCTTATTGGTTAGAAAAGTGGGATGGTGGTTTTCTAAAATTAAACATTTCTAAAATTGTCTATTTTACAGGTAGAACCAAATAAAATATGTAAATATGCCTTGCTGAAATTATAAGCTTATTTTCTTCATCATTTCTGTTTGCAGTCCCAAGTATAGTTAGACCTATCTCTGAATTAAGTTCAGCTTGTCAAGCATAGCACCAGACAAAAAAGAGCTCAATACAAAGGGACTTGGCTGACTTTTTTTATAACCAGAAGGTAACCACAGTGGATGAGTTATGAGGGACTATGATTCTTGTCTCAGGAGATTGAAGAGGTGATAATTTTAACACCTCCGGGCTGCCTTGTACGCTTGTAGAATTAGTTCTTCCTCAGATTATAAAATTAGCTGGGAATGTGAGCATGATGATCATTTGCCTTTACATAAGACACCAAAGGATGATGGAATCACTGCTTTAATCACATCTGGATGCAGCAGATAGTGTTGAATACCGTTTTCCAGGACATGACAGTCTTGCTGGTTTCTGTACAACCAGTGTCCATTGCTCTGTCTTTCTCTGGAGTATCTGTGACTACAAACATTTGGCACCCCAAGGAGCTTAGCGCTGTGCTGGTACACTTTCTAGCATACCCCACAGTCTTTTGCAAACCATAATTTACAGTTTATTTCAGAGACTTGTTACCCCACAGCTTAATGAGACTGGCAAACCATTATTATTCTTTTCATCTGTAATTGGAAATACAAAAAAATCTTAACAAACAGCTGAATGAGTGTAGTCTGAGTAAGATTATTATTCCAAGAAGACACTCTTTATTATAGTTGTCAATGTGAAGTGCTCAAATTGGTATCAGTGCTGTATCGTTAGCTACTATGCAAGTTAAATATTATTTAAGATCCTTCAAATATGACGTTATGTAAAGCCCTGCTGAATCATCATTTTTCCATAATGAGGTGTTCTTGGGCCTGTAAAATAACATACAGGCAGAAATTTTGTTCCAGAGAACTACAGTAATCTAAATATTTTAATAGCCTAGCAGTTCTTCAGATCTGTGTTGTTTGATATGCTAGCCATTAGTCACATGTGGCTGTTTTAATTTAACTTAATTAAAACAACATAACATTAAAATGTTAGTTCCTCATGTGCAGTAGGAACATTTTGAGTGTTCATCAACCATGTATTCTGTATGTTCTGCACGAACCTTTCCTTCACTACCTTGTGTTGAACACTGCTACTTTAGATTACTTTGTTAGCAGTAAATTTGGATCATGTTTGTGGCAATGAATTGGTTTGACCTTCAGATCATTGTAGGTCTGACCTCCTCAAAGTCCTAGAAACTATACAAACAAGATGCACTGGCCAGTATGATAGCACGTACCAGTCATCCCAGCACTTGAGAGTCTGAGGCAGGAGAATGCCATAAGTTTGAGGCCAGCCTGAGTTACATAATGAGTTCAAGACCAACTTGAACTAATAGGGAAACTATGTCTCAAAAAACCAAAAAACCAAATAAAGACACACTGGACATAGGTAAACAAACAGAAAACTGACAAGACATTACATAGCTAATAAAATTATTTAATCATCTTGTACTATTAAGGCTCAAACAAAAAAAGAGATGTTCGGTGCTCAATAATGTCATCAGAAGCGTGGGCTCATTTTCTCTGACTACCTAGCCATCATTACCACGTTGGCTTTTGTCCTGTCCATTACAATATATCGTTGACTAAACCTGTTCTATGTTGAAATTCAAGACTTATGAATTAAGTATAGTAATACCACCAAATGTTTGTCTTTATTGTTGTCCTGATGTCACACTTCTGTGTTAATAAGCAACAGGTAAATGACTAGACTAACAGAAGTATTAATATAAATGATCACAACTGCCATACTTCTGATTTTTCTTTCCTTCCTTTTAACTATAATAGATTCACCCTATATATTATACTATCTACTAGAGTTACATAATTAGTAGGAATTCAAATGCCATTGTCTAGTATTGACAACATTAGCCAGTGATAAGCATAAAAAGTAATTCCCTAACAGAGACAGAGGGCTCAGAAATTTTTATAAATAGGAAAAAATGTCTTTTAAGGGATTTGAAAAAGAAACCAAAAAGAATTTGACGGTGTCTTCAAAAAATAAGTTGCGTAGAAGACTGTCTAGTCTAAAAGAGTTACAAAGAATAATCTCTCTAGCAGCCCATGAAGCAAATACCCCAGTGCCACATGGTTGAATGAGAGCTGCTGACTCTTCCTTCATTGGCGAGGTGTATACTCCTAATCTTTGCTGCAGGAGCTAGAAGGGTTCCTGCTATCAGAGTACACACAGTGTGACAAAGGACATGGTCCAACTCTAATGATTCAGCTTTGGTTGGATAGCTCTGAGGAACTGTTTTGGAGCTCTCCTCCCGACCCCAGGAACTAATACTGCCTCAAAGGAAGCCCATTGGCGCACCTATTGTCCTCCTTCCATTCCTTTCCAGCCTGGGCACTTCTGCCAGCAGCTAATGCAAGCAGGAGGGTTTGAGTGACTTAACACAACAAACCAATCCATTTTCCTAGACTTTAGCTAATAAACAACTGATGTCATTAAAGTAATGCATTAAACAAGTACATTTTCAGGTCTCATATACATTGTGACAAGGACTCAGGTAAAGTTTTACCTCTCGTTAAGAGGAATCCTTAGGAGCTATGTTTCAGGCACTCAGATGCTTATTTGAGCAAATTATGCAGTGAGAAAGAAAGGACAGGATCAAGCCTACCTGTGATAATGAACAGCACAAGAGACAGTGCCAGAGGAAAAAGAATTATTTTTTGTGTATCCCTAGTGCTACCTCGGGGCTAAAATTATGTTGAGCAAAGCAGAGGCAATTTGGGATACCATGGACAAAGGTTGTGCTCTCCCAGGTAAAATTTCTACCCTCAGCTGATCTGTACTAAAGGAACACAAACAGATTCTCTATATTATTTAAGAAAGTCAAAGGAAAAGAAATTTGGAAAGTTGTTGGGAAATATGCAATTAATTTCAATGACATGCTTAGTTTCTACTTTGCATAATCGGACTTTCACTACTCTTTATTTGGACAATTAACCTTGAATAACTTTTTTAGAGAGTACATTTTACTTTATAGATAGCATATAAACTATGAAGATTTTTAAAAGACAAACCTGATAAGAAGTGGTTATCCAGTTGCTATAATACTTATGTTTAGAAATTTTTTAAAAAACCTTCATTATCTCTTATTTAGCTTTGGACCCACCAAATGTTGTAGTCATCATCCTCATTAACTAATGTTTCCTCAGCAGAGGTGTGCTCTGCTGAACAGACATGAATTGAAGTAAAAAGATGGGTAACAGGAATATGTAAAGGCTGCTGAAAGACTCCTTGCTGTGAAAGAACTCCCCTGCCAGTCTTTCAGACAGGTCTCAATGTCCAACCCATTGGTGACACCCTTGATTGAAGGCCCTCAGTTACTTGAGAGGATGTGCGGTCTCTGGAAGGACCCATTACTTTGCCACCACTGTATTTATAAATAAATACTTAGTTACCACAAAGTATGTAGTACAACATAATCTTATATTTATAGTACAACATAACTATCACACACTGATAGTTAAATCCTTCCTCTAAATTTAAAAGAAAAGGACAGCAGGGCTTCTAGTACTGTAGCTGCCAATGAATTAAAAGTCCTTGATAATTCTGCATCTTATTTCAAGAATATTACTAACTTTCTCCACTGAGAAAATCTGAAGAAAGTTGATAAATTAACGTAGAGGCAGTGGCTTTTCTATTTAAAATAAAATTAAACCATAGCCCTGAAAGTTGCCACGATTCTTCAAAGCTTTCTGAGGAGAGAACTGGTTGAGTCAAATGTCACACTTTGAATACTCCACTGACATATTTAGGCCTAATTGTGAGTCAAGAGACTTATTGAAGTTAAACATAAAATGTAGGTAGGAAATATCAGTATGCTCTGGACAATTTAAAGTCTGAAAGACTAGCAGCATACTGAAAACTACTTATATAATAATGCCTGAGGATGGGAATATGATGGTGTGTTTCTCTTATGATTCAGATCCCAAATTAATATTTCCCAGGATGATTTCTCTTTTGCATTTTTCTAAACATACCAAATGACATGTACAGGTACTGTAGGCTAGTTTGGGCAAGGGCACTTCTACTGTGCACTGAATTTACCCATTCGTAACTACTCATGACAGACTCCAGAGGAACAGCTTTGAATCTTGGAAAAGTACTCTGACATGCAAATTCCTGAAATTAGACCTATGGAAACAGGACTGTGTGGTTGCTTTTGACCAACAACTGGAAATAATAATGTGAATCGCCATTCGCTGAGTGTCCACTATGTACCAAGCCTTACATTCCTTCTTTCACATTCTTTTCATGCTGATTCTTTTGGTTAGTCATCTGGCCACCTGCTACTGCATTTTCCTCTTCCTGTCAGAGGTCATCCCCATGTAAGGCTTTGATGGATTTTCTGTGTGTCTGTGACTTGCTTCCTCAGTTTTTTCACTAGATAGATAATTATTGATGTACAGTGTTAAAAGTATGGCTAAAATATGGTTAAAAGTATAGTTCCTCACTAGAAAGTTAAATTACATTTTGTCCAGTAGATTATACTGAGCAT